AGGTGCGCTCGCGTCATATCTGACGTCCTATCCCTCCCTCCCATCCCTTACCATGGCGCTGATTTTCTTTATCCGCGGACGCGTGTCGTAGCGGACCTGTGGCTCCGCGCGCGCGTGCGTAGTGGGTGGTGGTGCGCGTGCGTGCGTGCGTGCGTGCGTGCGTGGTGGTGGTGTGGTGGTGGTGGTGGTGGTGGTGGTGGTGGTGGTGGTGGTGGTGGTGATGGTGGTGGTGGTGGTGCTGGTGGTGGTGGTGGTGCTGGTGGTGGTGGTGTTGGTACTGGTGCTGGTGCTGGTTGTGGTTGTGGTGGTGGTGGTGGTGGTGGTGGTGGTGGTGGCGGTGCGGCGCGGTGGTGGCGGGCGGATGGGCGCGCGAGAAAAAGGCCCGCGCTGGGGCTAGAACGCCATCCTGAACGACGGAGGCCAAACACCGATCCGAAAATGAGGCCCACGCTGCAGCGGGAGCACGATTCGGAACGATTCGGGAGCAGAAATGAGGCCGGCGCCTCAACGAGAGCAGCATTTTGGGAAAAAATGACGCCGGCGCCTCAGCGAGAGTCGTTTCCCAGGATTTCCCGGGAATCCTGTGTGTAAAAAAGCAGTACGCGGAGGGTGCGCGGCCATCACCCGGACGCCATCAGGGGAAGAGGGATATTATTTTCATATTGAGTAATTATGCAGGGGGAGAGGAGGGGGAGGGAGTGGGGGGGGAGGGGGAGAGGGGGGGGAGGGGGAGGTGGTGGGGGTGGGGAGGGGGAGGGGGAGAGGGAGGGGAGAGGGGGGAGGGGAGGACGAGGAGGGAGAGGGCCTGGTGTCGCGCCCGTCCACGTGGTGGGGGTGGGGAGGGGGAGGGGGAGAGGGAGGGGAGAGGGGGGAGGGGAGGACGAGGAGGGAGAGGGCCTGGTGTCGCGCCCGTCCACGGGAGCGGGGCGCCCGCAGCATCGGCGCCGGCTGCCAGGAACATCGCCCCCTGCCAGGCCCTCTCCCAGGACATGGCTTTTTGGTGGTCCCCTTCTCCTCGGGGGTTCGTGGAGGGGGGGGTTCCCCAAGGTGGGGTCAGGGGACGAGCCCAAGAACCGTTTAGAGCGATCCTCCCTCTAATCCCACCCTTGCCCCTTCCCGCATCTACCTCCCCCCAGCCCGGCGGGCTCCGCGGGCGAGCCCAAACGGGCTGGAGTGGCGCCCCAGGCGTCGCCGGCGGGGGCGCGAGGAACGCTTGAGGTACAGCAGGCTGCCTCGGAGCAGAGGAGGTCCAGGGGTGCGGCTCTCCCTCGTCCCCTCCCCCCGCCCGCGGCCGCTTCCTTCCCCCCCCCCCCCGCTGCCAGACAATTAGCGATGCCGTTTCCCGGTTTGCCCGAGCGCGCGTGCGAATTGCTTCTGCCGCGCCGCGACGTAATATTGTCTGGGCAGGCCTCTGGGGCGTTCAGAGGCTGCCAGAGGCGCTCAGATCCTCGGTGTCCCTCTTCCTGGGGGGGGACCTTGCCGTGGGCGGCCGGCCTCTTCCGCAGATTTTTCTTCGGGGTTTGTTCGCCGCGAGCGGCACTCCCCTAGCGCAGATTGTTGTGGTTCATCGTCGCCGTCATCTGCTGCTTCTTTCTTCTTCTTCTTCTTCTTTCCTTCCTGCTCGTCTCCCTCCCTTGCTGCCGTTCCGGCGCCCTGTCTCCTCCTCCGCTGCCGCCTGGGCGCCCTCCCCCTGCAGCCTCGCAGGTGCCCGAATGCGGGCCTGTGTCTGTGTGTCTGTCCGTCTTGCGGGGGACCTTTGTGCCCGTTTGGCCCCGCGGGGGCTTCCGCCGCGCCCCCTCCTTTCGGGCGGGCGCCCAGGACCGGAGCGAATCGCTCCAGAGCGCTCCCAGAGCTGCCCGGAGCGCTCTGGAACGGCCGCGGCGCCCAAAGCAGCTGTCAGAATCGCCTGGCCTCGGAGATCCCTCCGCCTCCTCCTCCTCCTCCTCCTCCTCCTCCTCTCTCCTCCTCCTCCTCCTCCTCCTCCCCTCCTTTTCCTCCCGCCCTCCTCCTCCTCCTCCTCCTCCTCCTCCTCCTCCTCCTCCTCCCCTTCCCCTTCTCCTCCTCTCCTCCTCCTCCTCCTCCTCCCTCCTCCTCCTCCTCCTCCTCCTCCTCCTCCTCCTCCACCTCCTCCGCCTCCTCCCCCTCCTCCTCCCCCTCCTCCTCCTCCTCCTCCTCCTCCACGACGAAGGAGGGGGGAGGGTGGAGGGAGGGGGGAGCGAGGACGGCCCTCTGGTCAGTCCCAGCCCAGCTTTGTCCTGGTCTTGGCTTCGTCCTGCCCCTTCGGCCTCGCGCGCGCGCGCGAGGTGCCCGACGCCGCCCTCGGGGCGGGCGACGCGCTGGTGGATCCCAGGGCGGCGCCCGCCCGCGCGTCCCGCGCAGGGGCGCAAGGGTGCGTGTGTGTGCGTGTGTGTGTGTGTGTGTGTGTGTGGTGTGTGTGTGTGTGTGTGTGTGCGTGCGGGCGTGCGTGCGTGCGTGTGGTGTGTTGTGTGTGTGTGTGTGTGTGTGTGTGTGTGTGTGTGTGTGTGTGTGCGGGTGCGCGTGCGTGCGTGCGTGCGTGCGTGCGTGTGTGTGTGTGTGTGTGTGTGTCTGTGCGTGTTTGTGTTTGTGTGTGTGTGTGTGCGTCTGTGTGTGTGTGTGTGTACGTGTGTGTGTGTGGGCGTGTGTGTGTGTGTGTGTGTGTGTGTGTGTGTCTGTGTGTGTGTGTGTGTGTGTGTGTGTGTGTGTGTGTGTGTGTGTATGTGTGTGTGTGTGTGTGTGTGTTTGGAGGGGCGACCCCTGAGCGGAGGTGGGGATAGGGAGGGGGGGAGGAGGGGATGGGTGCAGGGGGGAGGTTCGAGATTCGAGATTAGAGGTTGCGGACATCTTCGTGAGTTCCTGGCAGTCTTCCAGCCTCGGGGTGCGTTCCAGCGGCTGCGCCTCGCCGAGAGTGTTCCAGTGGTGCCCGGATCGTCCCGAACGGCCGCTGGAGAGCCGAGTTATGGCCCGCAAAGGAGCCGCGGACGGGGCTCAGCTCAGATTTAGGGGAACATAATATGGCATAGACAAAATTCGGAGATGTGCGCGGATTTCTCGGATCGGCGCTGGACCCCCTTCCCTGGCGCGCGGAGCGCGCCAGGGGCGGCGCCGGAGGCGCCGCCAGGGGGTCCAGCGCGGATCTGAGAAATCCCGGCGGACTTCGGAAATTTAATGTTTCGTGTCGTTCTTCGTGCCAGTACGAATGGGACGCAAAACGTGAACTGGGGAACCGATCCCAGCCCCCACAACTATGGATTCTACATGTCTGCGTTTTGCATTGACGGCGAATGAGCGTCAGTGTAGGCGCCCTGTCGGCGAGACCATTGCCAGTTGCCGCAGGGGGGCCCCGCGCGCGCGGCGACGTCCTGGGCCCGCTCGGCGCGGCCGCGCCCGCGCCGGCATTTCCAGGGCCACGCGTGCCACGGCCGCGGCATGCAGTTCGAAACGACGGCGGCGCTGTCCCTCGCACGCAGCGCCGCTCGCCCAGCCGAGGGCTCCCGCACCAGTTTCCGTCGCCTCCTCATGACCCCGCCGACGGAAAAGTTTAGATCGGGAGCGTTTCTCTTAAGGCAACTGGTCAAATATACAGTTTTTTCTGCTTTTATACTCTCCCGCGCGAGATTTTCTGCCCCAGAGAACTTTAGGTTGATTGTATATTGAGTTTATATTTTTTCGCCTGGTGCCTAAACTTTGTTTTTGGGGTGGATCTAAGCTTTTCGTTGCGCGCCCGTGCGGGGCGGGCCCCCGGCGCGGCCTAGGTTCTTGCCAGCGCCGCCAAGGGCCGACGCGCCCATGGTTTTTGCCCTGGCACGAGCGCGCGAATGTCCACAATGATTTTGGACACTGACCGCGTGCCAGCGCAAGGAAACGCCAAGTTCGAACGCCAATGAGCATAGCAGCAGCGCGCCGTTCGCATCGAAGTGCGCGGCGTTGTCGTTGGCTGACCGTCGAGCAGTTTCCGCTTGCCGTTCGCGCGTCGTTTGACGGTCCTATTGGTGTACAGTTTTTCGCGTGGGGGGCGGGGGTCGTTTTTCATGCGTTCAAAACGTATCGGTTCCCAATCGCATATTGATTGCCGATAGGGTGCCCGATAGCCCACTCCGATAAGGTGCCCGATTGCCCTGTCGCCGACCTATCGGCGATCTGTAATCCGCGGGATCGAGCCCCCCCCCGCTGGATGGGTACACCCGTGATCCTCGCGAACGTTTCGCGGATGGGATCGCCCGCCCCCCTCCCCGCCCATCTGTGGTCGTGGCCCTGTGGGCGTGGCGTTTTGGAGGGTGCAGGCGTGGGGTGGTTCGTCGTCGTCGTCGTCGTCGTCGTCGTCGTCGTCGTCGGTGGTTGCGGCGTCGTCGGTTGCGGCGTCGTCGTCGTCGTCGTCATCCCGTCCCCCCCTATCCCACCTGGAGTGCTGGGGGGTACTGGGACCCTGGGACCCACCCCATCTGGGGTTTGTGGGGCTTCGAGTTGACATCGCCGATTCCAGGTCGTTGTTTATCCCCATTGTTCTGGTCCCCCCGTCATGTTGCCCCTCAGTAGGGACGTATTTGTATTGCTTACCCGTCCTGTGATGCTGGATCCTCGTTTTGTAGAGAACGCGCCGCGGCACTCATTCCTCTTTCCCCCTCCCTCCTCCCTGTCCTCCTGCCTCCCACCCTTGCCTCTGTCCATCGCATGTCCATTTCAGCACAATTCCTACCTCAGCGGGCAGGGTACCATACCTCAGTGGGCAGGGTCCGCATGCGTGCCCCGCCCATTTCGGCGCATCCCTCACAAGGCCCCATAGGGAACTCCACCGACGGCCCCAGTGGCAGGCTCCGCGTGCGTCCCCCGCAAATTTCGGCACACCCCCCACGAAAATCGTGGCCGCAAAAGGAGCTCCACCGACGGCCCCGGTGGCAAGCTCCGCATGCGGCCCCCGCCCAGTTCGGCGCACCCCTCACGAGCATCGTGGCCCAAAAGGACCTCTTCAGAAACATCCATGACGAGGGTCCAGCACAGGAGGGCGGGTGAACATCTCGATCCCGCTTTTTCGTCCCTCCATCCTCCCATCTCCCTCCCCACTCCAGGGGGGGAGGGTCTGGAGGGGGAAAGGAGGCAGGGATTGGGGGACAGGGTGCAAAGCAGGGTTGGCAACGATACAGGAAGATGGATTGCGCCCCTGCGGGCTCAGCCGTGCGCCCTTTCCATCCTGCCTCTGTCTCGCCCATCCTCTTCCTCCTCCTGCTCCTCCTCCTCCTCCTCCTCCTCCTCCTCCTCCTCCTCCTCCTCCTCCTCCTCCTGGCAGCCTGGAGTGAGCGGGGCCGGCCCGTCGAGCGGACCTGGCCCGCCCAGTCCTCGTTTTCGGCTGCGCCCTCGAGGCTCCCCCTCCCTGTGGGCGCTGTTCTTCGATTCTGGTTGTGCCCCGATGCAGGGGCCCTGTGGCCCGCAGCGCTGCTGCCCCGATTGAATCCCGCTCGACTCCTCCTCCTCCCCCCTCCTCCCCTCCTCCGCCTCCTCCTCCTCCTCCTCCTCCTCTCCTCCTACTCTCCCTCCTCCTCCTCCCTTCATCCTCCTCCTCCTTCTTCTCCCTCGTCCTCCTCCTCCTCCTCCTCCTCCTCCTCCTTTTCCTCCTCCTCCTCCTCCTCCTCGCCCTCCTCCCCTTCTTTCCCCCTCCGCCCCTGGAGGGCCTCGGCGCGAGGGCGGCGCGCCGAGGCCCCAGGGGAACTGACGTCCGCCCAGTCGTGGCCTTTGTGGGGCTGCGCTGCGGTAGGAAGGCCCGTGCCCCATGATCCTTGTACGCGTTCCCTGGGTTGGTCCCAGGGGGTGCGGTCTTGGTCCGCGGGGTTCGGTCCTTCTCTGCCGTACGGTCCCAGTGCAGGCGTCCCCCCGGATGGGCTTAGGCGGGGGAGGCTCTAGGGTGCGGGCCACCTGCCTACGGGTTGTGGGGGTGGTTCTGGACCCCGCTGAGTCTCGCACCGCGCTCCCCACGCTGGGGTCCCCGACCTCAGGGAAGCGGGAGGCTCGGGATGGCATCCACACGCGGTGTCGTGAGCTGAGCGTGGATTGGCGGCGAGTGAGTGGGCCCTGTGAGCAGGCGGCGGAGTTTGTAGGTTCGCTTCTGTGGCGGGCTGGGACCCCCGACTGAAAGAACAGTGACTTTGACTGCATTTCCTTCTCTGCTGCTCCCTTCTTGCTTCTTGGCACTGTCTCGCGGAGACCGCCTTGTATGTCTTTGAATTTGTTTGGCACGTCTGGAGTGCCCTGAGAGGTTTACGGCACGTATGTAGTGTTGTTCTCAGCGTGGTGATATTGTTCGCGCGTGCGTGCGCATCAGGAGAATCCAGGAGAATCCTCCTCCTCCTCCTCCTCCTCCTCCTCCTCCTCCTCTTTCTCCCCCCTCCTCCTCCTCCTCCTTCCTCCTCCTCCCTCCTCCTCCTCCTCCTCCTCCTCCCCCCTTCCTCCTCCTCCTCCTCCTCCTCCTCCTCCTCCTCCTCCTCCTCCTTCTCCTCCCCCTTCCTCCTCCTCCTCCTCCTCCTGTACTCATCCTGGCCCAAGCTTCGTGCCGCTGGGCGCCCCCCCCCCTGGCGCTCGCCTGCAGCCTCGGGTGCCCGACGGCCACGCGCCAGCGGCCCGCTCGCGGCGGGCCGCCCGCGGCACGGCCTTTGCAGCGCACGGCGCGGCGGGCCTCGCGCTCCGAGGAGGGAAGGGCTCCGATGCCGCCACCGCTCCTTCCTTTTACCAGCCTCAGGGATTCGCCCTAAAAAATAAGGGAATCCCTAAGCTTGGCATCGTTATGAGGAGGTGCCCAGCATAGGGATAGGGATATGTTCCAGGCTGGTAACTCTTTTCCGTCTTGGAGCCTCCCGGGAGGCCCTCCCCTGAGATCCCGGCGTGGCATTTTTTTCACAACGGGCGTTTCTGCTCCATTTCGGGCCCCGGGACCTTCACAGACCGACCCGGCTCGAAAAATGACACAGAAAGATGGCTTCTGGGGCTCGGGGCGTGATTGTTTGCGAGGTTGCATTTTTTGGCAACGTCGGATCTCAGGGCCATCGTCACCGCTGGATTCGCTTCGAAATTCTGGGCAGAGCGCACCCGAACTTTTTTGCAGTACGACTCAAGGCTATGTCAGAGGTTCGGCGCCTCACGCGTTAGGACGTGAGGCCGTGGTTACGCCTTCCCAAGCGCCTGAACCAAACAACTACGGTGATACAAAATTGGGGATGTTTGTATCATGTGTCTCCCACTGCTGTCTGCACGTGCGAAGCCTGCGAAGATACGACATTGGCGAATTTCGTATCTGCCTCTCTCCGCTGATCTCCTCTCTGGATTCGCTTCGAAGTTCTGGGCAGAG